CGTGGTGGAGCACGGGCGGTTAACTAGTATCATGCTAGTATATACCATTTAATATATTTAATACGCTTATTTAATCTATATATTAATATCTATCTATCTATATATTAATAGGCAAGCATGTTTCTTTAAAACCTTTTTTCTCAGCTCGTGTGCATCGTAGGGAAAATCTACGCATACCGTTGGAAAGCTATTTTCCTGTAGGTGTGCAGAATCCCTTTATAAATTTAAATAGGCTCAAAGATAAGCACAAAAAATCTATATATTAATAGGCAAGCATGTTTCTTTAAAACCTTTTTTCTCAGCTCGTGTGCATCGTAGGGAAAATCTACGCATACCGTTGGAAAGCTATTTTCCTGTAGGTGTGCAGAATCCCTTTATAAATTTAAATAGGCTCAAAGATAAGCACAAAAAATGAGTTTAAAAATTTGAAAAAATTAACATGGATCTTATGCGTTGCTATGCTGGTTACGAAATAACAACGAAATATAAACAGAAAATCAAAACAAATGGAGGAAACTCCAATCACATGTTTTATTTGCAGTGTGGGGTGAAAATAGATAAGTGAGTACATTACATATTTTTGGTCGAGTTTCGACCACTGGACGACCTCTCGTACTTATTTAATACGCAAGCAGGATTTTTGTGACAATTACTCCTCCAAAACTACTGAACCGATTGACATGTTTTTGGTGTCGTTGGAAAGAGCGTAACGTGAAGTTGTGCAGGAAACTTTCTTTTTAGGTAAATAATTAGAGAGTGAGGCACTGGGGCCCTTTAAAGTTTCATATTTCTCCATAAGAATAACATGGGAAACAAACATTGTTTTGAAACTCCAGCTGTTGTCAGAAATTAAATATTGATAATTGGTCTCCATAGAAGCATGAGAAAACTCACAATGTTTACATTACCTTTGACATTTAAATGTAAACAACCAGAACTGTCAAATGCCTATTTCACGATTTCAGACAGCTTATCCAAAAAAATAAAACAACTATGTGGTAAGGTTTATTTAATCTTAAACTTTTTGATGGATTATTTATTATAAATCTATTTCAATGATTATGAAACAGATTTTTCCCGTTGTGAAGCAAAAATTAAAAGTGAGAAGAAGAACATATGTTAATTGCAAACATGCAATGTGTAAATAATCTATGTTGTATTAAAATTGTGTATAGTTTTGGATGTTGATTTGTGTTTAATGATAGCCTATGTTATTGGTTATTGAATTTTTATTTTAAGAATTTGGCATATGAATATTCCTTTGATAAATAACACCATTTCAGAGTTCTGTCAGTTTTTGCTTAACTCTGTTCTGTACAGTTTAAAGTAGCCTACACCTTATTGTCTACAAATGGCTAAATAACTTAGGTACGGTACATTATAAAAGCTGAGAGCCTTTTTACGTTAACTTAAATTGTAAGCTTACCTTTTCCCGTCCATGGGCAGTTTGATAGTTAAAAATTATCCCTTTAAACTGGAATAGGACTGTTATGTAAATTGCGAGTATTTCCATTAGTTATTAATCTTTTAGCCGACTCTTTTAAAATCATCGGAAATTATGACTGTTGTCAGTTTTTAAACAAGTTATTTGTTTATAAATAACTCCCGTACTTCTTTGCAATTGCTCGATTTCGAGCAACATGTACACTAGTCTATACTTATTTAATACGCAAGCAGGTTTTTTGTGACAATTACTCCTCCGAAACTACTGAACCGATTGACATGTTTTTGGTGTCATTGGAAAGAACGTAACGTGAAGTTGTGCGGGAAACTTTCTTTTTATGAAAATAATTAGAGAGTGAGGCCCTGGGGCCCTTTAAAGTTTCATATTTCTCCATAAGATTAACATGGGAAACAAAAATTGTTATGAAACTCCAGCTGTTAACAGATATTAAAAGTGAGAAGAAGAACATATGTTAATTGTAAACATTCAATAAGTTTGAACAAACATTTACTGACTTGGTTGAAATGAAATATTTACTATTTGAATTTGGGTAGAGATATTACAACGGAAAAAAGCGAGAGAGCCTAGATAAAATGATATAATCTGTTATGTACATCTTGAGTGTTTACATAATCTTTGAGTCAAAGACATCAGAAATTATGACTGTTATTCGTTTTAAAATAACACCTGTAATACTTAGCAATTGCTCGAATTCGAGCAACAAGGACACTAGTACTTATTTAATACGCAAGCAGGATTTTTGTGACAATTACTCCTCTGAAACTACTGAACCGATTGACATGTTTTTGGTCTCATTGGAAATAGCGTAACGTGAAGTTGTGCAGGAAACTTTCTTTTTAGGGAAATAATTAGAGAGTGAGGCCCTGGGGCCCTTTAAAGTTTTGTATTTCCATAAGATTAACATGTGAAACAAACATTGTTTTGAAACTTCAGCTGTTGTCAGAAATTAAATTTAAAAAATCAGTCTCCATGGAATCATAAGAAAATTCACAATGTTTACATTTGCTTTGACATTTAAATGTAAACAACCAGAACTGTCAAATGCCTATTTCTCAATTTCAGACAGCTGATCCAAAAAAATAAAACAACTTAGGTTTATTTAATCTTAAACTTTATGAAGGATTATTTATTATAAATCTATTTCAGTGATTATGAAACAGATTTTTGCCGTTGCGAACCAAAAATTAAAAGTGAGAAGAAGAACATGTGTTAATTGTCAACAGTCAATGTGCGAATTATCTAATGTTGTATTAAAAATGGGTATAGTTTTGAATGCTCATTTCAGAGTTCTGCCAGTTTTTGCCTAACTCTGTTCTGTAGAGTTTAAAGTAGCCTACACCTTATTGTCTACAAATTGGCTAAATAACTTAGGTACGGTACATTATAAAAGCTGACAGCCTTTTTACGTTGACTTGAATTGTAAGCTTACCTTTTCCCGTCCATGGGCAGTTTGATAGTTAAAAATTATCCCTTTAAACTGGAACAGGACTGTTATGTAAATTGCGAGTATTTCCATTAGTTATTAATCTTTTAGCCGACTCTTTTAAAATCATCGGAAATTATGACTGTTGTCAGTTTTTAAACAAGTTATTTGTTTACAAATAACTCCCGTACTTCTTTGCAATTGCTCGATTTCGAGCAACATGTACACTAGTACTTATTTAATACGCAAGCAGGATTTTTGTGACAATTACTCCTCTGAAACTACTGAACCGATTGACATGTTTTTGGTCTCATTGGAAATAGCGTAACGTGAAGTTGTGCAGGAAACTTTCTTTTTAGGGAAATAATTAGAGAGTGAGGCCCTGGGGCCCTTTAAAGTTTTGTATTTCCATAAGATTAACATGTGAAACAAACATTGTTTTGAAACTTCAGCTGTTGTCAGAAATTAAATTTAAAAAATCAGTCTCCATGGAATCATAAGAAAATTCACAATGTTTACATTTGCTTTGACATTTAAATGTAAACAACCAGAACTGTCAAATGCCTATTTCTCAATTTCAGACAGCTGATCCAAAAAAATAAAACAACTTAGGTTTATTTAATCTTAAACTTTATGAAGGATTATTTATTATAAATCTATTTCAGTGATTATGAAACAGATTTTTGCCGTTGCAAACCAAAAATTAAAAGTGAGAAGAAGAACATGTGTTAATTGTCAACAGTCAATGTGCGAATTATCTAATGTTGTATTAAAAATGGGTATAATTTTGAATGCTCATTTCAGAGTTCTGCCAGTTTTTGCCTAACTCTGTTCTGTAGAGTTTAAAGTAGCCTACACCTTATTGTCTACAAATTGGCTAAATAACTTAGGTACGGTACATTATAAAAGCTGACAGCCTTTTTACGTTGACTTGAATTGTAAGCTTACCTTTTCCCGTCCATGGGCAGTTTGATAGTTAAAAATTACCCCTTTAAACTGGAATGGGACTGTTATGTAAATTGTGAGTATTTCAATTAGTTAATAATCTTTTAGTCGACTCTTTTAAAATAATCGGAAATTATGACTCTGAGTTTTTTCTGAGAAATTATGAGTTTTTAAACAAGTCATTTGTTTATAGATAACTCCTGTACTTCTTTGCAATTGCTCGATTTCGAGCAACATGTACACTAGTATTTATTTAAAGCGCTCACACCATGGTGGAAGGAAAAAACATAGGTGTGCTATTCCCGTCATATTCTTACGTCACTCGGATTGCAAACAAAAGATCACCTGATTGTAAATGTCAAATTATCATGTCATGATTGTATTTGTTTTTATTGTTTTTATAATAATAAATAGTTATTTGTGCAACTAGTGAGAAAAGTGAGCAATTGACTCACTCGAGAGAAATCCTTACTCACGAGCCGTAGGCGAGTGAGGAATGCTTTCTCGAGTGAGGCAATTGTACTTTGAACTCGAGTTGCACATTATAATTTTCCTACAGTTACCATAAAACAAATAAATTTGTGAAGAAACATAACCTATTTTTACACAGAACAGAAGTGAACTTTTAATATAACATTTAATGTGAAGTGACAAATACAACAGTACAACAGCTGACCAGCTGATATACAGCCAGTGCTGCCAACGTATTTCACGCGCATGCGACGTTGCCTGCATGTTACGCGTTCACTATTTCGTGCCTTCACGTTGCAAATCTGGAGTGAGACAAAGTAATTAGAGTGAGGCAATGTTAACATTGTCTCACTGATGAGCGAATTGACCACTTTGCTTTCTCAAATCAGTGAGAGAACATGTACATTGTTAGGTAACTGTAGGAAAAAACAATAACAACCGAATCAAAACAAATACATATACTAATTTGACAGTTACAATCAGGTGATCTTTTGTTTGCAATCCTAGTGACGTCAGAATATGACGGGAATAGCACACCCATGTTTTTTCCTTCCACCATGCGCTCACACTCTTATAGTATAGAGTATTGAGTAAGTAAAAATTTTATGTTAATGTAATTGTAGTGGCAGCCTGTAATACCAAGTTCTTTCTGTTTCTGTTTTGTTCTCTCCGTCAAACGCAAACTCTGCTTGCTTGAGGAGGTTATCGTTTGTAATTTATTCTCGTGTTATTCATTATTGACACCATCATTGTGAATTTATAAAAGACTTTCTTCTCAGATAAGTTTAATTGATAAAATCATGGTCAAACGTAAAAATCAAGTTTTACTTGATTCAGAAAGCAGCAACAGTGAATCTAGCGGAAGCGATTTGGAGACGGTAATATTTTCTTTTCATAAAATAACCTAGCCTAGGGCCTAATCCACAAATTCAAGGGTGTCATTTCTTTTTTTACTTGATACTAAACTGTAAAGTATTAGTCCAACCGAAGAGGTCATAAAACTTAAAGTAAGAATGAACACTCAAAAATGTAAACAAGGTCAACAGTTGTAGACTAGGCCCATCCAAAAATAAGAGTTTGATTATTGAATTTAAAGCTGAAATCATATTAAACCATTAACTTACCTATGTGGCCACTCAAAACTCAAACCTCAGCAGGTTTTTGGCCTCACCAACAAGTTGCCACTTCTCTCTGTCTGCCATCCATTATGTCTCTGCTGCTAATTCAATCTCTGCTATTGCTAAGTCAATGCTATTAACCATTGACTTAACAACCCAAAATTAGGTACCTAACAAGTCTGAGTAACAATTAAAAAGTGTTCAAAACCTTTAGGCCACTGTTTGGTTTAGTCTAAATATTTATAACTTAACCACAATAAGCTAAGTATTAACTTGTGATCTTCAAATGAGGGTAGGGCCTAAGTTAATTCACTTGCTACTGTATAGGCTACAAGTTAAATTGTTAAAGTGGTTATTTAGGGATTAGTCGTCTACCATTATTTAGTCATATAGATACCGGTAGTTTATACAATTCAATAAGACATTTTTAAAAGACGATCAAATAACTTAGATCTTAGAGCGCTTGATAGTGTGATCAATGTGTAGGTTATAACTTATGTCACACTTCACGGTGGCCATTAAATGAGAAAAACTAAAACTGGCCAGCAAACCTAAAACACAACCAAAAAAGTACTGTATCCCGAATTGAGGAGATTTTTTTACATATACCATTCCACCTGTTAGATTTTAAAAAGAAAGCCCAGACATAATGTAAGCTTAAGTTTAAAACTTACTTCCTTATTAATTTCAGGAGCTCTTGTCCCTTGCTAAGAAAAAGAAACTGAAGAAGAGTGATGATGAGTCGCCCACAGAATCAAATACAAAAAAAGCAACAGCTGCATATTCTGACTCGGACACTTCATCTGGCTCCGATGATGACTGGGATGCAAAGGGAAACAAAAACACCACGAAAAAGAAGAAGAAAACCAAAACCGCTCCTAAAAGAACTGTATCCAAATCTACTGATGAAGAGTCTAGTGATGAGGAAGAACCTGAGAAAAACAACAAAAGTTCAGAACCAGAAGAAGGTAGCCTGCACTTTATTTTTAAAGTAGATCCTTCACATACTGGTAGGAGGTTGACAACTCCTACTTTGCATTGATTTGTAACTTTCTTCTTGCCAATATAAGCTTATGTTACTGGTATGCAAGTTTATGAATTTTCTTTTTATGATCTTTGATTAAAATGGCTTACAAAGTGGTTTTTTTTTTAATTTAATGTGTAAATTTAAGTTTTGTCTTTGGTTAAGTTATTTGTATAAGCCTACCCTTATTATAAGTGTTTTGAGAATTACAAGGTAGGTACAAGGTAGTTCTTATATTCCTGCTACTAGGAGGTCACGAAAATTGTGGATATTTATAGGCATGCAATGTGGGTGCGATACTCCCTGGTGTGGATTAACGTCCGCACTAGTAATGACTTAGACGATCCTCAGTAGGGTACTATCCCGATAATTAGACCAATTTGTTAGACCTAATTACAAGGCAAAAATGTGGTTTGGATTTCACTAGAAACTGTAGGCCTAGGTCCATTAATTGCCATTGGCTGTATGGGCTATTAATTAACAGCTGTGTCTAAGGAACATGTTGGCCTTAGTCACCTTGTCTTGCCTATGTGGACGGGCAAATGCAAGGTTAAAGAGGCCGCCAACCTGTTTAGTAAAAAGAAGAAGGCTACTAAAATGAAGTTCTTCACCTTTAGTTTGAAATTTGCAAATCATCCAATAGTTTTACAATAATTTACCATTCTAAAATGAATTGCAAACATGTTCAATCTAAGTAACTTTCATGTTTAGGCTATTTAATTACATTCACCGGTAAGTTAGCTATGAATTCTTTACCCTTAACATTCTTTTTGTGTCCAGGTGAAGTTTCTGACTCGGACGAGAGTGATTCAGATTCGTCAGATAGCCAGGAGGAATTCAATGATGGTTATGATGAGAACCTGATGGGTGATGAAGAAGATAGACGTAGGCTTGAGCAGATGACTGAAAAAGAAAGAGAGCAGGAAATCTTCAAGCGCATTGAACAAAGAGAAGTGATGAAAACGAGGTAGGCTATAAACAGTTCAAAACAGTAAAAAAAAAATGTTTTTTTCTACTAAAACTTATGATTTAACAAAACTTTACTGTCTACATCTACATTTTTTTGTGTTTTCTGTTGTCTAGCTACTGTGCACTAAAATTGTATACTCTTTTTAGGTTTGAAATAGAAAAGAAACTACGTTTGGCGAAGAAACAGGAAATGAAGAAAAAGAAGGGTGGCACAACAATAAAGAAGAGAGAGGAAAGAATGGACCCAAAAGAGCGTAGCAAAGAGAGGAAAAAGACTGTTGAAGAAAACCGAGGAAAGGTTGATAAAAAAGCGCAAGCTATGAATCTGTTGAAAGCTAGAAGAGAAGAAAGGAAAGAACGAGGTTTGTGCTTTATAGTTTTGACTTTGACATCTTTGTAGAATTGTTTTGCTGAACCGAATAAAAACTTAAGTTATTGCTTTAATAAATTGCCTTAGGCCTAGCATGAAAAAAATAACTGACCATAAAACAAACATATTAGGTCGAGCCGAGCTTTTATTATTGTGATCGCAATTATCATCTGTGAAGATGTGAGATTGAAAATTAACGATTTCACTACAATCGCGTTTGATGTTCACAGTATTGTCACAATCGTGTGAAACAATGACTGCAGAAGATGTTCCAAATGTCACCGTGACATTGGAAGTTCAAGAATCTTTATTGCCATTGATCCATGCATTCAGACATTGGCATAGTCATTAAATTAAATAAATGCATAAAGATTCTAACAATTACAAATACTTCTAAATTTAACAGTTTCTATACAGAGGTTAACAAACAACAACATAAAATTTAATCTTTACGGTAATTATCTGAGGACATGATAAATATTTGTCAATTGTATGAAATGGATTGGCAATTAGCCACTCAAATAATTTAATTTTAAAGTATCTCATAGAAAGTTGGGCAGTGTCAGGCAGTTGCTATTCCAAAAACCTAGGAATCCTCACAGTGGTGTCTCTCTACATACTTGAAACCATAAAGTATGTGAATGAAATAAACCCCCCAAGAAACCAAGATCTGCACCACTACAACACCCGTCATGGCTCCAAATTTGCACTACCAGTTCACCGAACAACTCTTTGGGGGAAAAAAACCTTCCTACACCGGCTGCAAGCTGAGGAACCATCTACCTGACTACTTGAGAGACCTGACTGGCAACAAGCTACACCAGGAGTTGAAGAAGTGGCTAATCGCAAGACCCTTCTACTCAATAAAGGAATTTTATGAAAATTATGGAAATTAACATGTACAATTCACTATTGTATTGACACTATTGTAATTATTAACGAATTAACAATAAAGAATATTGTATTGTTTATTGTAAAAGAAAGGTAAATTTTTTAAGATGATTACAATATCAGTACAGGGTATGGGGGGGATTAAGTACAATATTATTTAGCCAATTGTACCGTTAGTATGACAGTTTATATCTTAAAAATGAATACCCTCCAAATAAACTCAGTTTTGGCCAGAGACTCGATCCAAGTAAAAAAGTCTGGCCTGACAACCCCTAACGACTACTACAGCTGACAAACAATTTCAAAGACAGACAATAAGCAAGGGGTTAGCATTTGGATCAGCAGTGGCGGTTCTATAAGCTTCTCAGGGGGGCTAACAGGGGTGTTCCAAACCAAGAGGTCTGGGGAAAGCTATTTGGTGAAATTTTAAACCCATTTTTAATGTCTAAAACTCTGTCCAAATACCTCTGTTGAGTTTTCATGATAAATGTATGTGACAATTTATATTTCCAGGGTCCAATTAGTTATATGTCCAGGCCCCCCCCCCCCCCCCTTGGAACTGCCATTGTGGATCAGGGAAAGTTGTCGGGATGTAGTTTCGGATTTCTACTTTAATAAAAACAAGTAAGATAGGATTTCTATATTTTGTGTTTTGGCTGTTTTGTGACACACTACATAATGCATCACAATCTCGACTTAGGTAGGGAACGAATAGTCACGAATGTGACGCTTAGCAGTTTCAAGTGTAAAATAATTTAATTTAAATACATCTTTGATTTAGGCTATCTCACAGCAATTTTTAGTAATAGGGTCTTTACTGGTGTCGCATATTTATTTGTTAACTAGGCCTAACTAATATTTTTATTGCCAATGTTCATCAAAATGTACTGCTTATTCGCTCATAGTCCACTTAAAATTTTGCAGAGGAAAAAGAAAAACAACAGAAAATCGAGCAAGACAAGAAGAAAGAAGAAGAAGAAAAAGAAAAGGAAAGAGAAGAGGGGGATAGAGGAGAAGAAGGTGATGACGACGACGCAGCCTCAAGTAAACCTAAACTTAAGGTGAGCTTGCAAAGTAAACGCTTGACGAAACGACGTATGAAGTGGAACTTTGTGACATAGATCTGGTAAACCAATATGGATTGTATAACACCTTCAGTCTAAAAAATCCAAGCAAGTTATGATAATAAATAACCATCCACACAGATGCAAATGTTGCCAATCTGAATATTGAATATAAAAATGCCACACCACTGTAATCTGAAACCATTAACAGAGTTTCATATATATTAGGTTATTCTTTGGTAAATAATTACCAAACTATGTGGTAATAACAACAAACACTGGGTTTCACACTGGTTGTGTCATGATCACACAAATGCAATTAATTGTTTAAAATTTCAACTGAAGTCGGTCGATTGGACATGGTCAGGTTGGGGGTTCTGTATCAGTACACAAAAACACACGTACGACATTGTATACATATACAGTAGACTCCCTCTTATCCGGACTCCTTGGGACCCAGGCCAGTCCGGATAACGGTTTTTCCGGTTAAGCCGACATCCCCAAAAACTCATTAAAATGGAACGTTTACGGTGATATTCGACTTAAATTTAGGAGAGCAATGTATTTAGACATGTGATCACTGGTCTCAAATCTTTCCCACGAGAACAGTCGTTACAGTACCACCCACTTCCTGCCGATCTAGTCCGGTTAAACCAATGTGCCGATAATAATTGTCCGGTTAAAGAGATGTCATTTCCGTCGACTGTAGTCCGGTTAAACCGATGTCCTGTTAAAAGGTGTCCGGATGAGAGGGAGTCTACTGTATTATGATTAGATGTAATGTTCTCGTGGGCGGAAACAAGTCTGTATTATTTAATTGTACCTTTATAAGGGCCAGCTGGGGAAAAAAACATGTATATATTTTGTAATATTTGAAGGACTTGTTTAATTAAAAATCCATGGAAGAATGCATTTTAGTCATTTTTAATAATTAGTCAAAGAAAAATTTTTTATTGACGCTATTTATGTCACTGGTTTGAACAGGATAAATAAAGATTTTTTTTATTTGTTTGGTTATACAGGGTTAGTAAAAAGTGTGGAGACCCCCTGTTCTTTTTTTAACGGCCCATTCTAGAAAAACTAAACTCGGCACACCATTATGGCATGTTATGAAGTACTTTTTGGGCACAACCGCTACTTGGTGTTCATCCCAAAAATGGGGGATTTTGGGGGAAACTAAAAAATTTCAAATACAAAGACCCATCGAGTGACCTCTCATTTTGAAGGTCCTGGTAAAAGAAAACCAACAACGCAAACTAGAGGTCTCTATCTCAGTTCAGTACAAAATGGCAGCCAATTGAAATTCTCATAAGTTCCCAAACCCAAAATGGGGGATTTTGGGGGAAACTCAAAAATTTTAAATGATAAGCCCCATCGAGTGACCCCTCATTTTGAAGGTCATGATAAAAGAAAACTAACAACGCAAACTATAGGTCTTTATCCTAACACAGTAAAATATGGCAGCCAATTGAATATAAAGTGCTAGTTATTTCCGATTTCTTAAGATTTCATTTAGCTTCCATTTTTTACTAGATTGAGATAGAAACCTCTAGTTTGCTCTGTTAGTTTTCTTTTACCAGGACCTTCAAAATGAGGGGTCACTTGATGGGGCTTATCATTTAAAACTTTTGAGTTTCCCCCAAAATCCCCCATTTTGGGTTTGGTAAGCAAGTGGCTTTTAGGCTTAAAAAGTACTTCATAACATGCCAAAAAGGTGTGTAGAGTTTAGTTATCCTAGTGTGAGCCGCTACAAAATTTACAGAGGGCCCCCAGACTTGGAAAGCTGCAAGTAAAATTCAACTTCTGAGAATTTCAATTGGCTGCCATTTTTTACTGGATTGAGATAAAGACCTCTTGTTTGCGTTTTTGGTTTTCTTTTACCAGGACCTTCAAAATGAGGGGTCACTCGATAGGTATTTGTGTTTGAAATTTTTGAGTTTCCCCTAAAATCCCCCATTTTGGGGATGTACATCAAGTGACGGTTATGCCCAAAAAGTACTTCATAACATGCCATAAATGTGTGCCGAGTTTAGTTTTTCTAGTATGGGCCGTTAAAAAAATAACAGGAGGTCTCCACACTTTTTACTAACCCTGTATAAGTTATTCTAATTTAAATTTACTCAAAGTGTAAAACTGTTATTATTGATTCAGAAGCTTGAATGTCAATGAATCATAACTATGACATGTTTGGTAGGCGTCTGACATCTACAGTGACGACAGTGGCAGTGGCAGTGACAGCGAAGGGAAGGAGAAGAACAAAGCAAGATCAAGAAGCAGCTCCAGCTCGTCCCATAGTGATTCTGACTCAGACAGTGGCTCGGACAATAGGTACAGACATTATAATTTAAATTATATCAAATTTATTTTTAAATTTAGTTCCCTAATGCATAAAACTCAATTAAAAAAAAAATTATAAAAACGTTTTTTTTTTTTGCACATTAATTACAGTTAAACCCATTCACTATTTCTTATTTAGTCCCCAATCGCTAGTGGTTTGTAACAAAAAATAATTTCCACTTGCAGGTCTGTGGCCAGTTCAAAAGTCAAGAAAGTGCAGTACATTTCAACAAAAGAGGAGCTCAACAAGATTAGACTTTCCAGGCACAAGATGGAGAGGTAATTTGTAGCACCACAACCACAAATTTATGCTGCACTCAGTACGATTAACAAGTAGTAAGAAACAATGTTTGCAGGCTTGGAACAAAGATTTAAATTTACTTATTTACTTACTTGATACTTGATACTTGGTGATCTCCCACTGGTAGCGCAGCTGCGCCGTGGTCGTCAGTTTTTTATGGCCTATTTTTCTCTCAGATATTCTTCAATAGAATAATATGGGCTCTTCAATAAATATTCTTTGAATTTCCTCTTGAGTTCATCTTGATCTTCAATGTTTTTGATATTTAGAGGGATCAAGTTGTAGATTAAGCTTAACTTTGGTCCGCTCTTTACTAAACTTGAGTTGACTTGATTTAGATGAATGTTGTTTTTTTGCCTTGTTGAGTAGTTGTGTATTGTATTGTTTTGTAGAAACGTGTTCGGGTTCTTCTTAACTATTAGGGCAGATTCCAAAATAAATATTGCTGGCACTGTAAGGACTTTTGCTTCAACAAAAAGGGTTTTACAATGGGCAAGGTTATAAGAGTATTTTATAAGAGTATTGTATATAAAAATATCCCAAATTTTTCTGCAAACTCAATAGCTGTCTATTGTTAAAGTAAGTATCATAACTAATTATTTCAGATTTAATTTTATCCTTTTAACATTTATTGTATTGACCTCCACATGATCATTCAGTTTTCTTAGCATTGAGTTGTTTTCTGCTTTTGTTAGCTTTGCCCTAATTATCCTAATGTTGATTTTAAATTAATTAGATAAAACAGGTTGTAAAGTCTGTGTTGTTTGTACTTTTTACAGGTTTGTTCACCTGCCATTCTTCAATAGGGTTGTAGAGGGTTGTTTTGTCAGAATTGGAATCGGCAATCATAACGGAAAACCAGTTTACAGGGTGAGAATCTTATAGTATTGATAGTTATTATGTGTTTGTGTGTTATTCTGTTTTTTTTTATAATTACAGATCTATAAATACATCCATCAAAGCCTAATCAATCATTCCATTCCATAATGCTTTTCCAACAAAAAAATTCTGTCAAACCAAAGACAGGATTATTTATTTATTCTCTGAATTTTTATTTTTATTTTATTTTATGTTTTTATTTATTTTTGTTAGTTTATGTTGTAGTATTTAAAGATAGTGGATAAAATTAAGCAAAAAGGTCAGAAATATCCAAATAAGCTGTTTAACTCATTTTGTTTTTACAAACAAATTATTGTTATCATGGGACCTCATTAGTTGTAGCCAACATCATGCGAATAATCTGTCCATACTGGACATTCTCAGCGATACATACACATTGTATCCTCCTGATAGACATGAAAGCAACTTAATTAATACCAAGCCATTTGGTACACATTTTACCTTTATTTTATGGATCTGGAATTAAATTAGTTTATTATTACAATGAATTCGTCAAATTATATATTGAAGCTCTTGATAGTTTTTGCTTTTAGTCTGTGACGATCGATGATCAATGTGCTGGTAGCTGTAAAAGTTTATTGTTATTGCAGGTTGCGGAGATCAGTGGTGTGTGTGAAACCGCCAAGATTTACCAGCTGGGAAACACTCGTACCAACAAGGGTCTGAAGCTGAGACACGGAGCGCAAGAGAGAGTGTTTCGACTGGAGTTTGTCAGTAACCAGGTATGTGAGGCCACAATGCCTGAAGTTAGCCCGACTTTAGAATGTTTATGTTTTTCGCTACTTTTCCATATGACAAAATAAATTAAAAATTAAGACCTTGTTTCTTTAACATCTCCCGCGGTCGGGTAGAAATCATCATTGTTTTCCTCAATCACAGAAAAATATGGAACTCTCCTGGAAAAATTACGGTTGTGTAGACATCAGCAACTTCCGTGATCGTGGCAAGATTGTGAAAAAACCGGCAGAAATCACCATTGTCTTCCCCGATTGCAGCAAAATTCTTATCGTCTACTGCGGTCGAGTGGACATCATTCACCTCCGCAATCGTAGCAAAAAATTAAACATCTATGTTCCCAAAGACATAATCATCGTCCTCCATAGCTAAATCCTGGACATCCTTGGTAGTGTTTAAATTCTTTTTTCCCGCGATCACAGAAACATCACTGTACACAGAGCCATAACAGCAATATGTAGAACTTCTCCCGCAGTTGTGTTAACAGCACCAATACTGGGACGGGTGGCATCGTCCTGTAATCCAGCTACTAGGAGGTCACGAATTGTGGATATTTATAGGCATGCACTGTGGATGCGATACTCGGTGTGGATTAACGTCCGCACTAGTGAGTACTACGACTATCTGCAGTACTATCCTGATAATTAGAACAATTTGTTAATTACAAGGAAAAATGTGGTTCGGATTTCACTATCAACTGTAGGTCCCTTAGTTGTCATTAGCTGTATGGGCTATTAATTAACAGTTGTGTCGTGTCTAAGGAATATGTCGGCTTTAGTCACTAACAAGACTACAAGATCGCGCCACTCATCCTTCACTCATGTTTGGGTTAAAATACGCACATAGTGGCGTCCCCTATCCTAAATAATTGAATTGAATTGAATCGTCTGGTGCAGTAACAGAAAAATCATCATCGTCTTCTGTATTTGCGGCAAAATCCTGAACAACTCCCCCTATTGTGCAGACATCATCTTTGTCCTCTGCATTCGTGGTAAAATCCTTAACGTCTAACACAGTTGTGTCATAATCAGGTAGGCCTACATTAACGTTATCATCGTTTCTACGATCACGGCAAAACATTGAACATTTCCTGCCGTCACAGATTTTTCATTTTAGTCATCTGCGATTGTGGAGAAAGAATAAATTTGTCGATCCCACCATCTTCATAGGCGACTGGAATCTTCTAAAATTTTCTGTCTGGCGTTCGATTTTTCGAGCCTGTAAGCTAGGGTCAACTTGGCATGAAAATCAAGCCGCTCGCAGACCTCTAATATACTCTAATATTTTTGAGGACAACTTATCCAATTTTGATGAAATTTCGTAGGTACGTAGGAGTAAACCTACTTATCCATCCACATGCATTTGTGAACCAGCATGATAGGATTATGGGATTGGGGATTTATTGGGGGCGGTGGTTTATGGGGAGAAAATCGGCATTTCCCATTTTTCTCACTCAAAACATAACATTTTACAATTAATTTCTAAAATATTTTGTGGAGCTTAAAAAAAAGCCTAATTTAGTAAGTGGTATATTGAAGTGCTGTTGTAGGCCTACATTTAATGGTTACGTTGAACATTTCATAAAACCGTAAATATATAAAGTTTCCATGCTATTCTTAAGAAAAATAGTTAAACTGTTTTTGTTTGCTGTGCTTAAATATATTGTGATCAAATTTAGCAAATGTATTTATTTCATACTTACTATATTACACAATCAGATTCTAAAAGTGGTTTGTGTTGCAGGAGTTTACAGAATCAGAATACTACAAGTGGCGGGAGACATGTGCCGTACAAGGCATTTCCATACCCACCGTAGACGACATTGATAAAAAACTCAGTGATATCAAGGAGGCATTGATCTACGAATTTAAGGAGGAAGACATTGAAAAGGTTTGTGGAATTTCTACTTTTTAGCTATTTATTCTTTTTCTTTCAGCTCTAGAAACAATAGATTTTTCACTAACGAAACAGTTTAAACCCTAAGCCCAAGTAAAGCTTGGGGCATCTTGTTAGTGGCCATTAACAGAAAGAGTATTGGACAATTTGTTGACCAATTGATTAGTCCGTCAAATATAACCTAAGTAAAAGCAATAGTGTTGGCATGTGGCTATAGTTCCACTTCTCCTGGAAAGCCGACTGTGATGAGTGTAGCATTGCGGTTTTACCGTCAGTGTAGTGTTCCGTAGGGTGCGTAATCCATCGAAATGTGGCTTAGCTGTGGGAAGGGCCCACCCCCTTAAAAATAAACAGTGTCCGGCTTGGGTGGAAGTTGACAGCATTATTGAGTTTAATAGTTATTGCACAAACAGCACCTTTTTTGCTTGTTTTTACATTAGTATAGGTCCCCTCGTCCTGTATACAGAGGACAAGGACAAAGATAATTATTTTTTGGCTATTTTTAAGGGTGAATATGAACATGTCAGGATGAATTGTATGCAAAAAACAAAATGCAAAAAACAGCATAGGACCGCTAATCTAAAAAAATAATAAGAAAACAAAAAAAATATTCCTGCCTCAATGGGTTAACCACCGCGTGATACTTTTTAGTAGGTTTGTTATTTTGAGGGAAAAGCCTGTGGCTTAGGAATACTTAAGGGGTGGATATACAACTGACTCGCTTAAGAAAAATAATACCAGCATTTGGTAGCACACAAAAAGTTCCCACCATAGTGTTTCTAATGAAGCACATAGCCTGACAAATTGTTATCAAAGATGTTTGTAGCTTCTTTTGACGTTTAATTTCTGTCCATATAGGCTTTAAATGCTTGTGCATGGAACTTTCAAGTAAAGTATAAGGTGATTTGGTGCGATACAAAAACAAACTTTAGATGCTTTGGTTCCTCAGTCAGTTGTACCACCAACTGAGCCACCGGCTCACCAAGTCTTGTGAGCCATAATTTTTGTTATCAATTATTAGTCTTCAAGTACGGTATAAAATTCAATAAATGTTAATTATTGAGGTACAGTAGGTTAATTGGTTTTTCTAATTTTAAGCCTTGACAGTCAAATTTGATTTCCTGAAGACTCTTATTAGGTGTAGTTTACGCTTAATAACTTCATAGACTGTTGAAAGACCACAATATAGCCTATTTACTAATGTATAATGATTACCCTCGAACAATGATATGAAATTTAAATCTGAGTAATTTACACAATTTCAGATTGTCCAAGAAAAGGGAAGATTCAAACAAAACCCTTACAACTACGCTATGAAAAAGACTCAGTTAATGAAGGATAGAGACATGGCCCAGTCTAGGTAAGATTCAATGGTTTGTTGTTTCAAAGTTCTTGGTGATAAAATCTTTTGTGTCCTTTAACAATTTGATTGACAATTTGGTCGAGTGCACCAGTGAATTTCTGTTTTGTGTACATAAAACATTATTTTAGCCTAAGCTAAAATTGGTCTAGCTTGGGCCTATTTTGCCTTGACTATCACCAACAGTATTTAAAGTAACTTTAGAATCTGATTGGAAGTTACCCTGTCACAGGTTCAAAAAGGAAGTGTAAATAATCTTTTTGTAACATAAAACTAACCAATTTTATCTTCAAGCTTCCCACTATAGTTTCTTGCATGGACATGCTTGGCTGGAATACAAACTGTATAAATATTATTTAATCAAGAGTGGCCTAACATTCCGACTCTCTGCCCAGGAAACAGCATGGTAGATTGTGGTCAAGTCTGGTGTGTAACTCATGGGGACTAAGCTTTCCATTTCAGAACTTGGAGGAGTTAAGGGAATGGGTAGATTTGCACCAGGGATTTCCAGAGGATGGATTTTTTACCAGAAATATTTCTACTTTTAATCATATTACACAGTGTTGTATACAACAAAAATTTTACTATGAGAAATTGAATTTCTGCGTTCATCAGACGAGGCATAATGAACTCAACAAGTGATGGGTAAAGCATTACTTGGGAGAGTGTGAAGATGAAACCCTTATACATGTGTGGGTTGTTGTAGAGGAGATGAGGTGGAGGCTGCCAGGATCATACAACAGCTGCATGATCTGGAGGAGAGAGCCGTGGAGTTGGACAAGATGAGGACCTCCACCATCTCCAGCATCAGCTACATCAACGACCGGAACCGCAAGAGGAACGTGGAGGAGGCGGAGAAGGCTATCATGGTAGTCTTTGAACCTATCCTACTATTCTATCAAGTTTTTTTAATAGCTTTAGGCCAAGGTTTTTTAATGGATTTTGTGGCATCATTGAATATGGGTAGAAAAACCTATATTTGAAAGTAAAGCCTATTGACTAGTAAGTGATTTTTAGAAAACAAAAGAGTTCAGATAGCTTACCTGAAAAAATTTAGTCCTAGTGCTAATCACTCACAATAAAAGAACGCAAAACATAATACTGAAATTTCATCCTGAAGTAGGACAAGGACTTCTTCATAGAGTAGGTTGAAGAGAAAAGAAACTGCTCTCTGAAAAGTACTACTTCAGGACAAAATATTATATCATGTTTTATGTTCTTTTATTGTCCCCATATCTATTAGCCCCAGGACTCTCTCAGGTAAGCCAGTTGAACTCTATTCATTTTCTAAGGATAGAACTAGTAATTCCAAGTTGTGGCCAGTTTTAGGATAACATTTAAGGAAGTGAAACTAGAGGCAACTGACAGAGCGTGCTGGTACAAATTACTTATTCGTGTTGAGTACACCAACTTGTTAGCCATGCCGAACGGGAGGGTAATCTTATTGTTAACTCCCAGCGTTTTAATAAACTATAAACTAATAGCATAAGGAAGAAAAATGTATGGGAGGAAATAGAACTTTAGTCTTTAGCTCAATAATTATAAATAGCTTTTTAACTGTGTCATTTTTATTTAAAAAACAATAATTGGCTGCATCTGCTAGTATGTATTTTATGTTTAAAAAACTAGTTGAAACAGCTATTGAATGTGTTTCTGATAAAATTTGATATTCTTCCTTAACTTTTGTTACTTTGATAGTTGGATATGACATCAATGATAGGCCTACTGTAGTTGACAATTTAAATTTATCCTTTTCCTTTTAGTTTGGCTTGGTTGAATAAAATGTAGGCACAATCGACAGAATTGGGCAATTGTCATTACCATTTTCTGTCAGTAGTTAATTTTTATTTTGTATCACATTTCAAAACTGGCTGCATGGTTATAGCTTTAACATGGTAAAAAAATGTTTTGTAATGTGTCAATTGACACTAGAATCTCAAATTCATTGAATTTTCAGAAAATATAATGAATTTGCAATTTGACTTACAAAATTTGACAATAGAATTTTCAGCAAAAAGTTGCCGCATCAATGTAAATAATGTAAGGTTATCGACGCATTTACTTGAAAAACTGTTTGCACATGAAGTACTGTGAAATAATACTTTTATTCCAGCATAAAAAATTTAGAGATGTGGAGTAGTACACAATTCAAAGACAAGCCAACCAGCAAGCTTAAAAAGAATTATCATACTGATTCTGTATGTGTTTGTGTGTTAATTTTCATTGCAATACAGAGTCAGCCAATTAAAGAATTATGTGCCTTTTTGGTACCTACTATAACATAGGTTGATTTTCCTATTTCATTTTTAGGAAGAAGTAAAGGCGAATAAGGGCAAGAAAATTGATGACCCGTTTACAAGACGTAGTACGAAGCCTACAATGGTGTTCAAAGCACCTGATTCAAATCCCCCACCTCCTCCTCCAGATGTAGTAAGTGGAAGTTATAATATTTTTAAGTATTTAATTATTTAAAGGTTTAAATTTGTATTTCAATTTTAGAAAAATTTAAAGTTTATGTAGTAGTGCAATTTATGTAGGCTAGTTATAAAGTTGTATAATGTTAGATTTTAATGTCAAGCTAATGGAAGAATGTGTAGGTTTGCTGATATTGATCATTTTAACAACTAGTACCTCACAGTTTATACATGGTGTCCAATCTCCAGGAAATTCAAGAAAACCGGGAAATCTTTGGGAATTTCATTGAAATATCCTGGAAAACTCCAGGAATTAACCCAAACCTCTGGGAATCCGGAGCCCCATCATCGAAAACGCAGTTTGACCGAAAGACTACCACTGGTGTTGCACGATTGCGGGAAACGATTATCGGTATCGCCGACACTGCAAAATATGCTCACGCACTGGTATTGCCGTGACTGCGAAAGACGATTACTGGTGTAGCCAAAATTGCAAAATATGCTCACGGCACGGTTATTGCTGCAATCGCGGGAAACGATTATTGGTTTTGCCGAAACCGCAAAATATGTTCACGGGTATTGCGGGAAACAATGAACTATCGTTGTCGCTGAAACCGCAAAATATGCTCATGGGTATTGCCGCAATCGTGGGAGACGTTAACTTGTGTCGCCTTGCTGTTATTAATACTGTTTTAATATGTTGTATAAACTATTATTCCTTGAACAAGTTTTGTTTTAAAGTTATAGTGCCTCAGTGGCGTAACTAGAACATGGCTTTTGGGGGAATGAATGAGCTCAACGTCTGCACTCGTGGTGGGTGGGGGGGGGGGGGCGTCTGGGGGGTGTGCAATACCCTCCAACAAATAGGGGGGGTCAACATTTTACTAAATAACATCAAATCAAATCAAATATGTCTTTATTCATAATATGTACAATGTATTTCAGAATGAAATGGCTCATTTAATATTTGTTACAAGTCTACTAAGTGAACTAGAACTAACCTAAAAGCCGTTGTGAGTCTGCTTAGTGCTTACCAAGCATGCCGGCAGTGTTATTACTACCAGTCAGTCAGACTCTCCAAATTTACTCCCTCTGCCTGGGTCTTATTCATTAAATAAACCTTTAAAAATTAGTTTACTATACAAATCAACTAATAATTAATGAATTAAGATTAATAAAACCAAATTAAAAACTAAATCATCAGTTTTAGTTATAAACTTAACGCAACTGTATTTTAAAGAAGTAGGGTTGCTGTGATGTAAATATTGATTTTCATTTTAGGGTTCTTGGGTGGGTTCTATCCCAGTCACCCCCCCCCCCCCCCACCCTACCATAGTTACGCCACCGTAGTGCCTATCTTACCAGTTATTAAACAAATAAATAATACAATTTCTAACTTTCAACTTTTTAAATACCATTTTAAATACATTAGTTGAGCATTATATAATAAAATAATGATTTCTTTTTAAAATCTTTAAAAGTTTGAGTTAATGTAAAACGGTGTGATAAAGCTTTAAAAAGTTGGGTTCCGATAGGAGTTCTTAAAATTCAGGAATTTGTCTTGAATTCTCCTGGAAAACTCCTTGAATTTTTCAAACCAGATTTAGTAGACACCCTGTTATAGAAAGATTGTATGCACAATTTCTTGACTAGCATTTTGTGTGTCTTGTAGGCCTCAAAAGAGAACATCGAAAATCCTGCCAAGCCTGTGCCAGAGCCCAACAACAGGGTTGAGCCTGTCAAACCAACAGCTGACAAAGCCAAGACTGAGGACTTGTTTCTAGCTCACGACTTTGACATCAAGATCGATTTGGAAGTGCCGTTACCAAGTAAGCTCTATTCCTTGGTCCTCAGTACTGAAAAGGCGTTGAAAGTGGTACTTTTCTTAAAACATAAAACTGTCAGATGTTTTTATTGTGCTTGGTGATTTTTCAATTAGTAAAGTAAATCATTCAGGGTGAATAAATAAGTTGATGAAATTTAGTTGGTTTTTGTTATTTTATAAAAGCAATTATTTAAGAACTATATCAAACATGTGAGTGAAATTCTAGACAGTCTATATTGAACCCTTCCAACAAATTGCCTGTCAATCACTCGGCTCAACGCAGTAGCGGAACTTACCACTAGACGCTACACAAAACCAACATACATTGCTTGTTAAGAGGTTAGCCTACTCATGCCAGCAGCACAACTTTTATAACAGTAAAGTTTGTTCAAGTTCAAGACATTTTACGTTAAAATATCTGGAGCTTGGTCCCAGTCTTTTTCCTTGCATTTGGCAATACAAAAATCTTTAAAACTGTGCAGAACTTGGTGCCTCGATTTCTGTTGTGTGTGTCCGCTTTGCAAGAAGACAAGTCGAGTGACTTGCCTCACTTCACCCTGCCACGCATTGACTGCTACAGTGTGTGGCAAGCCTAGGGCCTAAGCTTTCTCTTCTAGGATTTCGACTATTGTTAACAATATGACATTTTACAGATAACCCAGTAAGTATTACCCCAAAACCTTCCAACGCAATGAAGGATAGTGGGCCTCGACGTTCGTTGAACTTGGAAGATTACAAGAAGAAAAGAGGACTTATTTGAAATAGGAATTTTGGTTAAGTACTTTAATTGAAGCTGTAACATATACAAAATTATTATGTTTGTCAACTATTTTTACAAGAGCACTAACCAAAATAAATTATTTTATTGTGGAGAGTATTGCGTGTCAAATAGTTTTATACTTTTTTAAATCGTTTTGTGGAAGTTACTTTAGTCTGTGTGTATCCAATTAGATTGGATCTTTCCTTTTGGGGTAAAAACACACAAGTGTCAAAAGCGATTTGGAGCAACAGGAGATATATGGTGAATCCAGACCTCTATGTGCTAGTCGCAGGTATTGGCCATGGTCACAATCAAGACACAGGGTTTTTTTTACCTATAAGGGAAAAGCTTATATTACAACAAACTGAGCACAATCTGATGGCAAGGAGGCAAGATAGAAAATAAAAATAAATTACAACATTAAAGTTAGGTTAGATTTTAAAAATGTTTTGTATGGAAAGTTTCCTGATGACTTTGGATCACATTGTACATTATTGACTAATTTTAAGTCTCTAGTACGTTTTGAAAGGGTTCACATTACTAATTGTGATTGGGGGCGCATGTTTTACCCAAATATGAGTGTAAAATGAAGTGAGCGGTGTAGCTTTGTTACAACTAAGACCAGCTGTTTCATTAGCCAGGACCATCTATTAAAAGCCCGATGATTAAGGACAGCTGGGTCCTATTTCAAAACATTAAAAAACTACTAGCTTTTCCCAGGATTGAATCGGCGACCTTTCGATTACTATGTGACCACTATAACCACTTGCTACCCAGCTTAGATCACAAACTAATGTCAAAGACTCAATCTCAATCCCCATAAAAATTACAAAATTTCAATGATGTTGAAATTGAAAAATACAATTTTTCAGTTTATTTCTCTAGTTTAGGCCCCAGAATGTCAACCGCCCTAAATTTTAAGACCCAGCTCCGCTAGATGTGGTCTGCTAAGCAGTTAAAAAATTCCTAAATGCCATACCTTTAAGCTTACAATGTAACAAAACCAGACTAGCGGTTCACAAGTCCTTTAGCGTAGGTCACAAGACTTGTATGGGTTGAGAGTTTGCGCCCTCATTCCCCTTTCCTTGGGGAGGAATTTTTCTCTTCCTTGTCCCCCTTGGCCCAAGTCCACCGAGCCCATTTACTAAAGCGACCCTGACTAACTTCATCTGCCCCTACCCAACCCCAATCAATTAGAAAAACCATAGTTTTTTTTAAGGTACACCACCCATAGTCTTTCCTTGTGTACCACTGCCAGTTGAAGGTTTGCATTTTATTTTTCGCTCCAAACCATACAGCTTGGCCTATTTGTGTTTTTACCCTTTAAGTTTTAAATGTGTATAATATATATTATACTGTTTACTCATTTTAGATCGGTAAACCTGACATATAGTAACCTGAATAGTAAAAGTTTTTGGTTTACTGTGCCTAAACTTGCTTCTTCATATTATAAACTGTAAAATAGTATATTTCGTACCTAGGGCCAAAAATGAGGTTTTGCTGGCTCGAGATAGTTTTTAAGTTCGAGACAAAGTCGAGAACTTAAAACGATCGAGAGCTGCAAAACCATTTCGGTACGAACGCTATTTTTCACCACACTATACCTTATTTCCACTATTCACCACAATAATAATGTACACTAACAGTCAACGCAACTACAACATTAAGGTTACGTAGAGAAATAAATGGAGGAATCAGCAAAAATAATAATAAACAGTTGCTAGGCAGCAGTGACAAAAAAACAAGTCTATTGCAATGCTATGGATATAGCTTGTGTATATAATATACATTATTTGTTTAAGTAAATAAGCAAACAGTTGATTTTGCGGCCCTAGGTATGTAAAAACCTGCTCGGTCCCCAAAATGACGATGACATCTGGCATGAGCAGCAAAACTTAACTTTCAGCATAGACAAAAATAATAAAATATATGGTGCTGCGGTTACCATGGTTACAATGAGTTCTGGCGCACACCGCTGTTAGCGCCGTGTAGTTACATGGCGTGTATGCCGTAACTACATGGCGCTCCCAGAGGCGAGCGCCACAGAACCTATGGTAACCGCAGCACGGCTGATGGTCTATATTTAATGCTTTTTGTCTATGCTTCAGCCACTAATTAATGTATGTGAAACAGATAAAAACATCATAGTGTGGCGAAAATTACTTTTGTCTTTATTTGTACCATTTTACAATTGTTGGCAGTTTTAACATTATTTGTAAATAAATTATTATGCGAATATCGTGTGAACAGTCATATTTTATGTTAATTTTCAAGTCCTAGTGTAATGTATGTAAGTAAATCAAAGAGTATAAAATGTTAAAACAGAAGAATCATTAATTGCAATGTTGAATACTCATTCCACGTTATTTTATTTTTCACAGTTGAAACCAAAATGCTTCAATTATGGGCAATATGGGTTTTTCTATCCTTTTTAATGTTTACAAAATACAAAGAGTTCAAAATGTAAGTGCCTGTTCCAGCCAAAACTTGAAATAGTTGAGTTAAGCTGTGTTGTGCAATATGGGAGGTGACATCTAGGTGTTGATGTGTTATTTGTATGCTTTAGTGGTTTAAAGGAATCTCCATTCACCAAATCCATGACTAGTACTGGTTGATATATAATCTCAATTTTATGTCTCAGTTGCCAAAATTATTAAGTACTTCCTCTAAATGTTGTCTTGTGAGAATCGTGTTTTTAAATTTTGTGTGAATATAATGTAATTTTCATTTTTAAATTTTTTAGTAAGGAACTGTTCAAAACCTGTTGTGTTACTAATTAAACCTTTTGTTGTATAAATGTTTATTACCATATCAAAAGTGTAAATAACAGTAAAATTATAAAAAAGGAATTGTTTTTAGGGAAAAACATTTAGCTTGGATTATTTATTTAAGAAAGGAATTGTGTAATTGTAATTAATTTTTAATGAAATAGAATTCAGAAAGCAATAAGATTTCTTGTATTGACGTAGTTGTTGAAGAGGTTTGTAGATTGTGGGCTTCAATAGAACTCTTTCTCTTATCTAGGAATATTCCAAATTTTCCTTTTTAATGGTGGACAAATTATTTTTTAAATACAAATGGCAGAGATAGTGTTTTATTGGTTAAAATGTAAAATATATGTTTCCCGATTTTAAGGAAAAATGTGTCAAAATTGTCTTTAAAATAAAACTAATTAAATCAGATCTCGTTATAAAATAAAACTAGACATTTTGTGTATTTCACCTCAATCACTAGCTGTTGCCATGTGCTGCTTTAATAACTAAGCAATCAAGAGGTTGAATAATTTATGTTATTATATTACTCCCTCCGGTTAATTATGATCAATACGTGACGACGTGTGCTCAAATTTCACATTTAACAGGGTTCAACGTTTCTTTCTGAGACAAAATGAGTAATGCACCCTTTTACCCTTGTACCCTTTTACTTTTCAAAGATGTTTTTTCAATTGTTAGGTTATGTTAGTACTAATGATTATCAAGATTATTAAAGATTTGTAGCAAAGACTATTAAGATTAAAGACAATTAGTATGTGATAAAAACTTCTAAATTACAATAAAATAAATACAGACATGTAAAGTTTTACAACTAAAAGAGTGATTATTATCAATTGAGATGGGAACGCCACCCAGGTGCATATTTTAACTGAAATATGCGTGAAGGATGAGTGTAGAATGAGGTAAGATGCCTTCCCTAGCTTTGTTACTTACCAATATACAAGCTATTTCATTAGCCAGGACCATTTATTAAAAGCCCAATAATCAAGGACTAGCCTACAAACTTTTCTCACGATCGAACTGGCGACATTTTGATTAGCACTATAACCAACCACTCGCCCAGCTATATCTAGTGTAGGGCAACCTCGCAACGCACGGCCAGCCTGTTGCCATGGTAATACCAGAAAAAACCCAAAAGTGTACATGTATAAAGATTGTGCAGACACTCCATCATAAATTTGTGCAACAGCTGGTTTGGTTTGTCATGCAGGCCTTGTATAAGAGGGGGCCATAGCCATGCTGCCTTTAAGTAATGATAATAATAATAATTATGTCGACTGGATTTATGAACAGACAGTAAACCGCCAATATTATATACTAGTTGCTCTGCCCGTGCTGTGCTACGGGGTGAGAATGCAGAAAAGAATAATACGGTTACAACACACTTACCACAAAAAATATAGGCAAAGCTCAATCGTTCTTATTAATTATTTAAATGCATATTTCTTAATGTTTTACCATCACTTTATATAGTGTATTGCAATATATGCAAGAGTGTAATTCATTGACCACATGGAACCAAGAAACAAATCTTCATAATAAGCCAATTTAGTTAAATGGTAGGACAAAGCATAACAGCTGGATTAGTAAATTTTCTTTATAAGAAATACATTGGGATTTTGATGGCCTGTGGGGCAAAGCTCGAATCCTTTTGTTACAGGAATTGGTGAAAGGGGGCGTCTACACAAAAAATACTTAATTTTGACACATTGTTTGTGAAAATCCGTTCATTATTATCGGAGGAGTAGTGTTTCGTAGAAAACGCCTTCACGTATTATATATACGGTAAGGATTTTTTAAAGGATTGTTAACATATTGTTTACTATACAATATACATACTTTAGGTTATGATACAGATGTTTCGGGATTTATTCTGGTTTTATCAGTAGGTACTGCAGTTTTTAGAAAGTTGTAGGAGTGTAAATAATGTGTAGATATTTAATTCAACTGTTGGTTAGTGCTCTTTATTTGTCAATACAAAGTGTAAATATTGTAGGCTTACTATCTTAAAATAAACTTATGGTCTTTTTATCGACTCTTATGAGATTAATCATTGCTTGAGGTAACATTGTTGTAGTTAATTTATTATTTTATAACAATTTTTAAGGAATTCAGTTTGTTCTGATTATTTCCCATCAAATTATTTATTATATTAATTCCTCCTGTAAAACTGGTTTTATAAATAAAGTTTGTAAATTTTATATTTTGTGGTTATTTACTTTTAGTTAATTTCCCATATAAAGAATAAGCTATTACCATAGGTCTTATGGTAAGACCTGGATCCGAGACTGATTTACTTTTTCGTTTAGGGGTCTGAAGAGACCAAAAACACCACCCGTTAAAATTCATTATATGTGTCCGTCAGCACGATAACACCTAAACTAAATTTGATCTAATTTTGATTAAATTTGGAACAAATATGTAAACCTGTTTTTTACTTGAATGAATTTGCAAACCAGCATGATCAGATGGAAACAGAGGGTTTTGGGATTGGTTTTTTTTTCATTGTTGATATTCAAAATATAATAATTTATAATTTTTTTCTAACCATTTTATAGAGCAATGATAGAGCAGAAAAGAACAAACTTCATTTTGTGTTGTTTATTCCGAATCACGTTTACAATATTAAAAGAACAAATAATAATTTAGAATATTTAATCATTATTATGCACTTAATGGTTACAGAGAACATTAAAAAATAGTTGTAAATTCCAAATTCCTATGTTCTTCTCATGGAGAATAAGACACTGTTGTAGTTTGATTGTTTAGTCTACAACAATGCTATGCTGTCAAAAAAGCCACCTCTCCCTCCTTGTAACAATGCAAAATATTGTGTGTGAAACACCTTGATTGACATGAAATCAATATCAATACATAATTTCGATACAATATGATTGATTACAATTACAATCAAAGTTAACAACCAAGTTTTCAACAGCTGACTTATACTGGCGAGGGACTAAATAGTATATTTCGTAGGTACCTAGGGCCAAAAATGAGGATTTGCTGGCTCTAGATCATTTTTTAAGTTCGAGAACTTAGAATGATTGAGAGCTGCAAACCCCTTTCGGCCCGTGGTATGAACGCTATTTTTCACCACACTATACAAAATTGAGAAAATATAATACAATATGCACACTAATGTTTAACACTAAGTTACAACTTTAAGGTTGTGTGAAAACATTTAGAGGAATCATGTCAAACTAATAAATAGTTTCTAAGTAGCGACGAAAATAAAAGAAGTCTATTGCAATGTATATGGGTACAGCGTGTGTGTATAAAATACAGTTTAAAGTAAATTAGCGAACAGCTGATTTTCAGCCGCAAAAACCTGCTTGGTTCCTATTATGACATGACAGCTGGAATGGAAAGCAATAAAAATGTAGCTTTCAGACTCCAATACTCCAAATAAATGTATAAAAACGGCTTAAAACATTGTAGAGTTGTGAAAAGCCTTTGGGAGTAAGAGCTACCGGTAAACTAGTCCCCGCAATGCATTTATTATTATTGTGGTGTCTTTGCTGTAGTATGAAGAAAAAGTAATTCATATTGAAAGCATGCACATTGAAAACTGCAGAAACAGTTTTTAAAGTTGAAAAATAATCTAAGAGAATGCATCCCTAAATAAGTAAATAATTGGTTTCGTTCATACATAGAATACAGTAATTAATATTGAACCTTGAAGGCAAGAGGAAAATAATTACTGTACAAAGATAAACTTTTTTTGGAATCCCCATCAGTCTGATAGGCCTAATGCAAAATAACACATTTTATTCTGGGTATAAGTATAAGTAACAATATAGTAGTAATAATATAGTATAGTTAAATGTAGTGGTCACTAATGTACCATATCACAGACAGACACTCCATTATTTATTCATTTATTTATTTATTATAAATAACAAATAATTATGAATAACATTCGAAATGTAAACATTATCTACTGATTAAAAATGTTAAAACTAATGTCTACAAGCTACCACAATTAATTATTTTCAATTAATTGCACAAATCAAATCAATTCATAACAATTGCAGGCTGATAACTTCCCATACAAACTTCCCTCCAATATCATACCATAAAAGGTAATATCCCCCTAAGTGTACTCCGGATTGGCTAGTGTGTGAAGCGTCAAGCCGGTGTGATGACTAATTTCCTTCTTCTTCCGTCTGACTTCTGAGGCGGGGAAATTTAGTGTGCTAAGTGCAACACTTCTTTGCCATGTGGATGTGGGTTATCGCCTATCGGTTTGTTTAGAGAAGAAAATCGTCAACAACCGATATTGTGGATCCAGAAACAACAAAACAAATGGTATACATTCGAAAAAAATAATGAGTTTTCTTTAAAAAAATTAATAGTTTCTCAAATAAAATAATCTAAGTGTTTTTGAGGTTGAGTTTGGGTGTTGTTAAAGTAGTCCCATCATCGATTGCGGAATATTATTGATAAACTGCGGTACATTGATTCACTATTTTATTTGAGAAATAAAAATATTTATATATTTCATAAATCCTCCGTAATACGTCAAAGAAACTGAATAAAATTTCATTTTCACTCGGACGCATTCAGTGATTAACTCGCTAACATTGGACAAGAAGAGATTGTGGTTAGGAGGGGACGATAGGCCGCCCAATTGCGTGAGCCGTACCATTAGGAGCTGTCTGTGCGGATGGATTTTTAACGAGAGAGTCATTTTACTCTGTTCGGTTGGTAGTGGAAGCAGTGAACAGTGAACACCCTCTCTTCCACTGGATATTGGGTGACGTTAGGGTTTCTAGTGAAATAGACTGGCACAAGGTGATACGGATATCGCACAAATAAAATGGTAAGTTGATTTATTATACAGTTAACTAATTTTAGATTTAATTTTTTAGATTCACAATTTGGTTTCTCAGTTCTCACTTAGTAAAAATTATTAATCCTCATTGTGCTCCTAAATCCCTCATGCCGGTACCGCCATTTGCACATCGATTTAGATTCAGCCCTTATCATTTATTTATTAATTTTATAATTTTGTTTGTCTCCGTCGTTCTTCGTGACGCGTCAAAGTCTTGTACATACATCAGGAACATTTATTTGTTTAGGCTAAATGACCTGTTAAAACTGGTCCAGCCACACTGCCCAGGCTAAATTAATTAGGTCCTGACCATGTTTTGTAGTCTTGAGGGACTTTCATGAATTATTTTGCTAACTTACATCAATGTCATCAGGGAATACTTGTCTTTACGTGACAGATTTTTCCACCACACAAAGTAGCCCAGTGTTCAGACTTGTCATTAAGTTAGATGCCTAGGATTTTATTTAGTTTGAAACATCTTAATTTTTAGGCTAATTTCTAGGCTAACTTATTAGAACCTAAAATTAGCTAGGCTAGGTAAGACTACCGAAGGTGAAGTTAGGCTTACTTAACTTACCTAGTTGTTAAGTCATTTCGAGAACTTAGGCCAATTTGGGCTGCACTTTACTTTAGGTACACTCATTCGAATGGAAATATCGATCGATATATCGATTAATCGATTGTTTCATTCGATATATCGTTTGGTTAGTTAGGTTAGGTTAATCTTACCTAACTAACCAAACGATATATCGTATGAAACAATCGAATAATCGATATTTTCAATTCATTTAACTTATATTTCGATTTTCCATGGTGACATCATTTTACGAAAGGCAGATGATACAAAATTTACCACAACAACAACTAAAGGCTATGACTGAGTAAATAACAATAGATAAACTTAGCAAGTAACACATCAACAATGAAGATAAAAACCATGATAAATTTTGACAACTGCACTTTGATAGATCCAAAAATGCCCTCTAATAATAAATCAATAACTTACCCTATCATAAAACCATAAATTTTTTTAAGCCAACCCACATTAGGCTACACTGTAAAATTACGCATAAAACTCACACCTCATCTTGTTATCGGACAAAAACTCACGACGACGCTGCCATTTTAGGTTAGAAGATGTCAAGGGTTCTGTTCTTTTAAAGCTTTGAAAAGTCCAATCTTCTATTTGTGTGACCAGCCTGACAAAATTGATATTTTACTTTTCTTTGTCTACGAGCTTACAAAACAACGTTTTTGGACTTTTCAAATTATAGGCTATAAGTATTATATGCGCGTCAGAGACCGACAATTTTTGTTGATTCGCCAAACTAGCCTCACGTAAAAATTGGCTACTTACTTATTTACAAAAAAAATTATTGGCTGTTGGAATACATTATATGACATTATAGGCCTACCTACTTAAAATACAAAATAAAAGCAGACTTCATCCTTTTTGCAGTGGTAACACTTGTCTGCTATAGGCCTAAACCAAAATTGCGTCTGCTAATATGATTTTTTGAAATTGCTCATCTTTCAGGATATCACAACGAAACATGGCGGTTGCGAGTTCGCACGTTATTTTCATTCAAATTTAACTCATGATTGTATCAATAGGTATAGGCTACATAACACGTTCGCTACTGAGCGTTGCATATATGCGACGCCGCGGTCATTGCCACAGACCGAGGTATACATTTGAATCTTATACATAGACCAGCTGTCACTTAGTTAATGTTAACTAAGTACACACAGACCATGGGCGAAAACCTGTAAAACAGTGATCATTTACATTGTAATGCGCTACAATGCAACAATCGTGTTTGTAAATAATTTATTCTTGTTTTTTGTATTTTTTATAACCTTTTGGAATGTTGCATATATTTGCGACGCCCGGTCTACAGCGAAGACAATAGTGAAAATTATAATAGTTTTCTTGAAAGACCAAACGTCGCAAATATGCGACAGTTCATTTTTGTAAGTGTTCTTAAGAAAAAGTAGGCCTAAGTAAAAAAAAACAGATTAAGTTATTCAAGAACAGTTTATAACTGAACAAATATAAAAGCTAAATAAGATAATGTAGCATACATACTGCATACATACTTACAGTACTTGATACTTACTTACTTGATACTTGAATCCTGTATCTTTGACAGATCTAGTCTGATAGATTGATAGATCTGATAGATACATACATACAGTGATGCAGAAAAGTAAAGGCCAGTTTTTTCAACTATCATATGACGTCACCAATCATCATATCCACAGACCAAGCGACGCAGTTGTGCGTCAGACATCTCTGTAGACTACTGCAGGGAATTCAGTGCCTTCGAATAGACTGTTACAAAGATATAGACCTAAGAATTT